CGAGGGCAGGAGCGGCAGCGCCGGGCTCTTCGCCAGGCAGGTCCAGAAGCGCTTCAGCCGAGCCCAGGAGAAGGTAGGTGGGCACCCCAAAACTGTCCCTGTGAGAGCTGGGCATCCCAAAACTGCCCCTGTGAGAGCTGGACACCCCAAAACTGTCCCTGTGAGAGCTGGGCACCCCAAAACTGCCCTTGTGTGAATTCAGGCTCTTCCTGGGCATCCTAAAACTGCCTCAATCAGACTCAGGTTCTTCCTGCGCACCCCAAAATGGATCCTGTCAGACCGGGACACCCCAAAACTGCCCCTGTCCAGACTCAGACTCTTCCTGGGCACCCCAAAACTGCCCCTGTCAGAGCTGGACACCCCAAAATTGCCCCTGTCCACATTCGGCCGCTTCCTGGACACCCCAAAACTGTCCCTGTCAGAGCTGAGCATCCCAAAACTGATCCTGTCAGAGCTGGGCACCCCAAAACTGATCCTGTCAGAGCTGGGCATCCCAAAACTGCCCCTGTCCAGATTCAGGCTCTTCCCAGGCATCCCAAAAGTGCCCCTGTCCAGATTCGGCCTCTTCCTGGACACCCCAAAACTGCCTCAGTCAGATTCAGGGTCTTCTTGCACACCCCAAAACTGCCCCTGTCAGAGCTGGACACCCCAAAACTGTCCCTGTGTGGACTCAGCCTCTTCCTGGACACCCCAAAACTGCCCCTGTCAGAGCTGAGCACCTGAAAACTGCCCCCGTCCAGATTCAGGCTCTTCCTGGGCACCCCAAAACCGCCCCTGTGCGGAATCGGCCTCTTCCTGGGCATCTGAAAACTGCCCCTGTCAGATCTGGACACCCCAAAACTGCCCCTGTCCACATTTGTCCGCTTCCTGGACACCCCAAAACTGCCTCAATCAGACTCAGGCTCTTCCTGGACACCCCAAAACTGCCCCTGTGCAGATTCAGGCTCTTCCTGGGCACCCCAAAACTGCCTCAATCAGACTCAGGCTCTTCCTGAGCACCCCAAAACTGCCCCTGTGTGGACTCAGCCTCTTCTCGGAAATCCCAGAACTGTCCTTGTCTGCATTCAGCTTCTTTTGAACACCCCAAAACTGCCCATGTGTGGTCTCAGGCTCTTCCCGGGCATCCCAAAACTGCCCCTGTGAGAGCTGGGAACCCCAAACTGCCCCTGTGTGGAATCAGCCTTTTCCTGAGCACCCCAAAACTGCCCCTGTCAGAGATGGACACCCCAAAACTGCCCATGTGTGGACTCAGCTCTTTCTGAGCACCCCAAAATTGCCCCTGTGCGGCATCAGCCTCTTCCTGGACACCCCAAAACTGCCCCACCCAGTCCAGCCTCACCGCGCTCCTTCAGCCTCAGGCCCTCCTCATCCTCCTCACGGTGTCCCCTGTGCCCCACAGTCGGGGCTCGGGGTGTTTTGGGGTGCACCCACAGGGTTTAGGGTGGGGGGGGATGCGTTTACACCCAAAAATTCACCGTTTTCCTCAAMAAAATAATAGYGCTGGGGGACTCAYCAAAATGTTGCATTTCCACCCAAAATCCCAGCTTTGGCTGGGTTTGTCCTTCTTTCCCGCGGGGCGGCCCGAACGGCACCGCCCGGCACCTTTGGGTGCTCGGAGGGCGGGGATTTTGGGTTTTTTTGGGGTTTTTTGGGTCAGCGCCATTGTTTCTCCGAGGTTTTGGACGGTGACATCTCCCAAAAATGTCACTTTGGCTTCTCCGATTTTGGGGTTTTTCCACCCGAAACGCCCTGCAGGGGTTCTGGGGGGGCTGTGGGGTGATTTTGGGGTCCC